TATAAAACGTGACACTCAGACAGGAGTGCAGTGACCTCAGAGAGGAGGCGCATTCAAGGGTTTAGGGTGTGGGGTCTCACAGGGCCTTGCGGGAGGTAGGGGTCGGCCTAAGGCAGGATGTATAGAGGCGATTCATGATTCCTTTGAAGTTCTGTCTTAAGAATAGATTATTCAGGTGACTGTTGACCCAGCTCTCAGCATTCTCTATCCACACAGGTTCCTTTACGCTGCACGTCTGTCTCTGGTCCCGGTCACAGTTACTCAGTTGATTAAGGGACTGGAAGGGTAAGAACGGCATGTAGATCGAGCCAGAGAACAAGCCGAGCCCTTTTTGCAGGCCGAGTGGATTTTACAAAGGCATGAGCCTCGCCCCATTTCCCTGCCCTGCCTCGCAGTGGGGCTCCTGACGTCTGCCAGGGCCCCCTGGGTGTGCGTGCGAGGCAGACAAGCGGGCCTCCGCATCCCAGAACCTCCCTGACGGGCAGGGGACCAGGCCAACCACCAGCTGGCCAGCGTCGTGGGGAGGCGAGTCTTTGGGGCCTGCCGCCACAGGGATCCAGGCAGGGCCCCTACCTGAGATGGGCTGCGCCCCCTGACACAGCCCGGGGCCAGACTGACCCGGGGCTGACCCCACGTCCCTCTCCACCAGCCACACACAGCCTTCAGGGCTGCCCCTCGGCAGGACAGAGCGGGAGGCCCCTGTGCGGCTCAGGTCTCATCCTGACCCCGCTGCTCCGTGCACATGTGCACCCCAGGGCAGGGAAGCTGTCGTGGGCGTCTGGAACAAGGAGCAGGGCTGGGTCCCCGGGTCCTGCCCAGCACCCCCGGAGAGGCTGGGAGCCGACACCTGAGGCCGAGTGGAGCCTGACAGCAGCATTAGTCAGCCTGATAGGCCATTTCCTACCTTTGTCCGACACTTGTTTCCAGTCATGACACAGATCTTCCTTTAAAAAATCATTGCTTAGACGTGGTGTGTGGGGGGTCACGGGGAAGACAGTGTAGCTCAGAGAAGGCAAATAGGAACTCTGGGCATCTTACTACACTGATGGACAGTGACTGCAATGGGGCGTGGGGGGGACTCGATAATTAGGGTGAATGTAGTAACCACATTGTTTTTCCTGTGAAACCTTCATAAGAGTGTGTATCAATGGTACCTTAATAAAAATAAAAATCATTGCTTAGTCATGACGCAGGGCAGGTGCTGGGGTGACTGTGGGCGTGAGCCCAACAGGGAGGCTGCAAACTTCTCCGTAAACCAAAGCTTTTATCTTGAAACGTGCACAGATTCACAGGAAGCTTCAAGTAACGTGCGTGCAGGGCAACCCTCGCACCTCCACCTGTTTCGCTGGCTGTCTGCATCCTGTGTAGCTGGGACAAGGCCAAAGCCAGTCCCCGGGCAGCCTGCATCCCAGCTCCACACACACTTGCACATGGCGCGTGTACGGACCCAGCTCTCTGCCCTTGTCACATGTGTGGATCTGTGTAACCATGTAGATGAGATGTTTTTGTCACCTTAAGGCTCCTATGCACTGCCACGTGGTGGCCTCACACCTGTTCCCCTCCGCCCACTGCCCTGATCCCTGGCCACCTCTGTTCCCTGTGGTTCAGGGAATGTCACAGATGTGGAGTCACATAAATGCGACCATGGGGTATGGGCCTTGTCCCCTCAATGTCATTTCCTAGAGGGCCACGTGCCTACGACCAGCCGCTGCTCAGGAGAAGCATGGCAGAGATTGGCCACAGTGCAGTGCCAGCCACCCAGTTCTGGGCACCACCACCCAAAACCAGGCCCCAGTCATCCTACCAGGTGGAACCCACGTGTCATCAGAGGCTGAGCTGCACATTAGCTACAGGCTACCAGCCGCCTCCAGCGTGAGGTGGGTGAGGCCGGCAATGGTGGGCACCCCTCCGCTGGGCCCGGCTGCCTCAGCCTCCAAGGGCCTGAAGTGTCATGTGTGGGCAGGTGGCACCCCCAGAGAGCTGAGCCACACACAGGGTCGGGAGGCGCACGGGAAAGGTCGTGGAGGTGCAGGAAGCCCGAGGATTTCATTACCTCTGTGCAGAAGGTGGCACTTTGCTACATGTGAAGGCATGAGGCCTCACAGTGTCCAGGCCGTCGGCTGCGGGCAGCCAGCAGGCGCTGTCCCTGGGTGGCGTGTGTCCGGGAGGCACTGCCCACAGTGGGCCTCTCCCTGCTGGGGGAGCCAGGCTGCTGTCCGGCCCTCGCGCTTTCACCCCGCAGGCTCTCCTAGCCTGGGGCTCTGAGGCCGTGTGAACCCTGCCCCCTGCCTCAGAGCATGGCGGTGGTTCCATCTCACATTTTTTTCTTTTCAAATTTATTTTAAAATGTTAGTGTCTGCTCTGGGGTCTTGGGACATCTGGACTTGCCTTGTCCCTTGACTCCTCTCAGATACTGCCTGACGTGGGCAGGGTGCCTTCGGGCTCACAGGGTTCCTGCTTCCGCTGCGCACGCGGCTCTGTCCCCGCGTCGCTCAGTAGCCATGCCATGTACATAATGGCACTCACATGCACCTGCCGGTGGGCTTGTGTACACAGCAGCCCCCCATGGGTCTGCCGCTGTGCTCCACATCCCGCACACCCTGTAGGCTGAGGCCCCCTCGGACTGAAACGGGCTCCAAGACGAAGGCGTGCTCTGGGTGGGGAGCATGGGACTCCGGGAAGCTCCTGGCCAGCCTCCCTGTGCCGGAACCGAGCATCTCGGCAGACATCCCAGAAAATGGAGCACAAGGCCTTCGAAGGGGTGTTTGGAGGCCCCACCTCCCAGGGCGCCCTGCGCTGCGGCTGCCACCGCGCCTGGTGCTGTCCTGCCCTGCCCAGCTGCCCTCCGGCTGCCCCCAGCTCTCTGCCCACTGCCCCCACTGCGCCTCAGCCCCGCCTGTGCTGCCCCTTCACAGGTGTTCCGTGCACCAGGGGCCCCTTCCTCGAGGCCAGTGTGAACTGCTCTGTGTCCGTCTGGCCGGCAGATGCTGCCAGCTGTCATCACCCTGGGGCTGCAGCCCAGCCTGCACCTGGCGCTCGGGTGTCCCAGCAGTGCGTAGCCACTTACCGGCTGACCACGGAGACCTGCTCCTTCAGTTCCCAGCCAGCCTGATACCCAGGTGGGCAGGGCCGCACCCCCTCCAGTTCCCGGCGGCCCAGCTTCCTCCATCTCCGCCTCCATCCTCACGTGGCCTGCCCACTGTCACATCTTCCTCTGCCTCCCTTGGAAGGACACGTGTGGCCGCCTCGTCTGCAGTCCCTTCACGCGGCGGCCGTCCGAGTCAGCCCAGGGCTCTCCAGCCCCACCAGGTCGCGGTACCCGGCTCTCGCCGCTCCTCTTCATCTGGCTGGGGGCGCCCAGTGAAGTGGACGGGCTGGGGCAGGGAAGGGCCTGGAGATGCCAAAGCGGGGTCGTCTGGCCAGAATGGCTGTGGGTGCGGCAGGTGGAGGCCCAGCCAGAGGCCTGTGGGGGGGGCAGTGTGGGCAGGAGCCCCAGGGGCTCTCACCCCAGCATACACTGCAGTGCTGAGCTGCTGAGGGGTGCAGGTGCCATCAGACAGAGGCCCCACCCTCGTGGCCTGGGAATGGGCAGAGGGGGCAGGACCAGGGGTGGGAGGTAGAGCCCAGGGTGGGGCAGTGATGCCTCCCTCCACTGGGTTTCCGGGTGCAGGGAAGCCCGTGGGGGTGGGCACAGGAAGCCACCTGAGGGACCTGAGCCCCAGCGTGGCCCCACCCTGGCAGCGGGAGCCCATGATGGCCTGGGCTGGCAGCCATTCAGGACACCCAGGGGGTGTGGCTGGAGGTTGGGAAGCCCGCACAGGCCGCGTGGCTGCCCAGTGTGGAGGGGACCAGGCAGAACCAGGGCTGCCCAGGGGGGATGGGAGGGGCTTCGTGGGCCTCACGGGCTTTAGGAAAGGCGGCACGCGGCCTCCCCGGCAGCCTCTCCCGCTCCACGCCTGCCTGCTGCCTGCCGAGCCAGGCTATCCCGGGAGCGCCACACACCTTCCCAGAGCCTCTCATTGCTTCTGCTTCCTGTGGGTGCAGGAGAGCTTGCCACACGCAGCCCATGCCCACAGGGCCAGGCCTTTGTGCAAAACCGTGGACAGACCGCAGCCGTTCGAGCACACCCATCATCTCGTTTAACCAAAGAGCAGCCTGCGCGGCAGGTGGAGAGGAGCTGCAAGGTGTGGGTGTGCCTCCCCAGGCGGAGGGTGTGATGTGTGAGGAAAGGTTGGTGCTTTATTCCAGCTGGTAACTGCCTGCCGTGTGCATGGGGGAGCAGCCTGGCGCAGCCCCAGCACTCCTTCTGGGTAGGGTGGGGGCGTCCCCGTGTGCTCACTCAAGCCCACCCCACCCGCACCCCAGATGCCCCAGGCTGGAGCCCAGACCCTGTGGCACCCTCTGTCCTGTAACCTCCTCATGCCAGGTGGTGCCTGGATGACCCTCCCGGTGCCCAGGACCCCCTGAGAAAGGTGTGAGTGGCCTCAGCTGGGGCGGCCCGCCTGGGCTGGTGTCCAGGAGGAGCAAGGTGGGAAGGCACAGTGGTCAGTGGAAAAGAGAAGGGAGTCCCCCCCCATCAGAGACCTTGTGTGACTCCACGTGCTGCCCACCAGGGCCCTCTGTGGCCAGGCCCCGCTGGACACTGAAGGCCAGTTCTGTGTGTGTGCTCCTTTGCATGGGCTGAAAACAGCAAAAGGGATGCCTGCCTGGGTGGTGGTGGCACCAGCCTCCCACCAGCACACCTCCAAGCCCTGGTTTTTGCAGTGGCCCCCCATCTGTCCACTGGGGTGCTGCTGGCCACATAGGGACACAGCCAGAGGGGCTCTTCCAGTGTCAGTCCCACGGGCTGAGCGCACAGCCATCAAACTTTGTGCTCGCTGCCTTGTCCCCAAAAGCCCCCCCCACCGCCGCCGGACCAGAAGCACCCAGCATGGGGGTGCTGCACTCACCCAGAGCACGCCAGGCCGCGGGTGCTGGACTCACCAGAGCCCTGTCCCCAGGTGACACAGCTGTGTTCAAGGATGGCAGTTACTGGATCCGGGGCCGCACGTCGGTGGATATCATCAAGAGCGGCGGCTACAAGGTCAGCGCCCCGGAGGTGGAGCGGCTGCTGCTGGCCCACCCCAGCATCGCAGGTGAGGGCCGGGCACGGCGACCCGAGCCTCTCGGGCAGACAGGGCCCCCGGGACGTGTCTCCCTCTGATAGATTGTAGGCAGCACGGACACCAGGTGACCCAGCATCAGGGCGCCACACAGCTGGGCCTTGCCCGCCCGCCCCGCACCCCAGTGAGTCCCTGCATGCCGCGGGCCGCAGCACCGCCCCTGTGCTCAGGAGTGGCAGCATGCTGGGGGTGGCCATCCTGGCACTGCGCCTGCAGAGCTCCTGACAGGAGCACAGAGGCCCTGTGAGTGCTGCGGGCTGCAGCTGCCAGTCCAAGAAGCAGGGCCACCCCAATCTGCTGCTCTCAGGCCACGGGCTCTGAGGACCTCGGGTCAGCACAGGCGGCTCCCCTGGGGCCAGGCCTGGCTGTATGCCAGGATGCCCTGTGGCCTGTCTGGGGGAGCCTGCAGGCCTGGAGGTGGAGCCTTCTGGGCTTTTTGCCACCACCACCCCTGCCACCTTACCAGCGACTCTCCCCTGGCGCAGTGCAAGGGAGGGCAGGAGTGGTGGGGGGCCCGGCCCACTCCCTGGTCCCCTCCAGACACCATTTCTAGGACCGTGTGCTCCCGGGCCACCGAGCCAGGCTTCTCCCAGGACCTGCTGCAGGAACCCTGTGTCCCAGGCATGGCCCACGCATTCTACTACCAATCAACGTGCAGTGGTCATTGTGCATTTTCAAGATGCCACACCTTGTTCTTCTGTCCACAGATGTGGCTGTGGTCGGTGTTCCAGACTTGACATGGGGCCAGCGGGTTACTGCGGTCGTGGCCCTTCAAGAGGGACACTCACTGTCCCACCAGGAGCTCAAAGCATGGGCACGGTAAGGGCTGGGCAGGGGTAGTGGGGTCAGAGGAGGACAGCTAGAGGTCTGGGTCTTGCTGTCATGATCTTGGGGGCTGAGTGCCTAGGCCATCAGCAGCATGGTGCTAACACGAGGCTGACCCCCACTGGGAAGCTCTGGTGGCAGAGGGGCAGAGATGGCCCAGTCCTTACCCATCACCCAAGGCCGTGGACACTGAGAGGCAGACGGGGCCACCCTGCCTGCCAGAGGACAGTGGCAGAAGCATGTGCTCCGGGGCGGGGTCCCCTGTCGTGAGCAGCTTGATCCCCTCCCAGGTCTAGAAAGACTCGTTGGCCAGGGCGCTGGGCTAGACAGTCTGCAGAGCTCCTTCCCACCTGCTCCTGGAAGGCCACACACACCTGCCATTGGCTGTGCCCGGCCCATGGGTGCTGGTTGCAGGGAGCTTGCACGTGCCCTTGGGGTGCTCACTGCCTGGGGCCGAGGTCAGGGGTCTCCCTGCATCTCCCTGCCTTGGCTGAACCCTAAGCCTCCCACGACCCACAGGCCCCTCCCCGTGCTCACAGCACCTGTTGGTCCATCCCAGGGCCAAGCCTGAATCCCCATCCTTGTCAAAGGCCAGATAGGACAGGAGGAGGCATGGTGGATGCTGGTCCAGCACCCCGGCGAGCTCCGAAGGGAGGCCGTTAGTAACAGCTCCAAAGTCTTGATCTCAAACCCAGGAATGTTCTCCCTCCAACTCCACCCTGACTCGCCTCCTCCTAGAGCTGGAAATATTTTTGGCCCATCTAACATGATTTCACAAACAGCAGGAACCCTTGTTACACGGGGCAGCACAGCTGGGTGATCACCCTGGATTTTCGAATCACAGTCGGAGCTTAACAAAGGCAAGGCAGCTTCCATTTGCTGGCTGCTGCTTTGATTAAACAGTCACTATGTCAAAAAGAAGAAAATGCAAATCCTGTGCAAGAGCTTGTGCTGAGCTGTCTGCCAGGGAGTGTTCGGGCCACCTCCCCATCCCCTCTTAGCTGCCGGCCGTCCTCAGGCATGGGGCCCGTTGCCAGGTACTCCTCCTGCCCCATGTTGCGTGTCTGTCCCTCCTAAGTCCAGGCCAGGCTCCGGCCCAGGACCTGGCAGGGGCTGCGCTGACCGGTTTGGCCTGTGCCCCTGAGGTGGGTGCACTGTGTCCAGGCTTGGGGGCCCTGGTGCCAGGCTTCTTGGAGGGCAGGGCTCGGTGGCCTCCATGGGGCCTGCCCCAGATCGAGGCCAGCGTCCGGCCTTTGTGTCCTCCCCTCTGGCAGCCACTGGGCGGTGACGCGGGGCGACCCACCCCATGGAGGGGCGCCAGGGGCCTTCTCCTCCAGGCCAGGGCCTACTCTGGGGCCGAGAGGCCCCTGCACCCTGGGGCAGGGAGAGGGGCCTCGCCTGCCCTTCTTCCTGTATCATGTTCACTACCATTTGGGGTCTTTCTTAAAGGTCTTAAATGTCTTCCTTTTGCTCCCATTTTTTTCCTCTCCCAAGATGTTTGCTTACATCCTCTGCTCCCCTCCTCCATGCCGTGCTCCCAGTGGGGGTCTGGGGGAAGCACAGTCCCAGCCAAGGGTGGCATGGCCTTGGAGCTGGGTAATGTCACCACATCCTCAGGGTCTGGGTCATGGACGACCCACACCACCCTTCCATGCCCCAAGATGCCAAGTTGAAATGGCCCACGTGGGCCTTGCGCAGCGGGGGAAGCCGAGGAATGAGCCGCGGTGTTGGCCTCTGGTCGCTCTGGGTGCCTGACGGTCGTTGGCTGAGCACCCCGTCCAGCCTCCCCCAGCCAGCCCCCCTCTGAGGGAGGAGGTAACAGGAACTGAGTGCCGGAAGTAAGGCCTCCACCGTCCGTGAGGATTTTTCCATGTGAAGCTTGCTTTTAACAAACAGCTCGACTTTGCTGGACTCCTGTCCGACACCCCGCTCTGCCGTGGAGCTGCTCCAGGCGTCACGGGGCGGCTGCTCAGCTGGGCCCCTTTGGAGAACGAGGCGGCTCCTGAGGCCCTTACCTCTGCAGGACCCGAGGGCAGAACCCCCTTCCCAAAAGGACCGCCTGTCAGAAATGGCAGCGCCCCGGCCCCGGCCCGCGTCCGTCACAGCCTTTCAAATGGGTGTTCACCTTTCCGGCTCTTGCTCCCTGGCCAGGGTTACCAAGCTGGGGTCTGTGACAGGCCACTCTGACGTGCCCGCCGCCCCGCCCGCCTGCCGCTGCTCCGCGCTGGCCACGTCTGTTAGAGCCCCACACTGCACTCGATATTCTCGGTCACCTGTCTGAGTCCAGGAGGAAAATGGCCCGTGTCCCCCACCTGTGCCTCCCTCGGCCTGGCCGGCCCTGGCTCTGGATCCGCCTCATGTCCTGGGCGCAGGCCTCCTGGAGACGAACTCCGGAAGCGTCTTTGATTCTGCCTGCATTCCAGAAGGGCGCCTCCTCTGGATGTGAGACTCTAGACTGACGGGTTTTTCCTTGTGGAAAAACGGTGCTCCACTGCCTTCTCGTACACTGGGGGAGTGGCCCGGACTGTGCCCCCAGACTCACTCTGCCCTCCTCTCTGGGCCCTGGCCCAGCTTGGTGCTGGCACAGCCCGGGGGACATGTGAAGAGCCGCCGCCGATGATCACACCACCCAGACACCGTGGAGATGCCGTGTCGGCAGCCGGGCCGGGGCCTCAGGCGGCCTCGTCTAGAAGCAGGTGGGGTGTTGGGCTCTCGGGGGCTCGTCCTGCCAGTGTCAGGGCCACGGGGCCAGTCCTGAGGGTCGGTTCCAGCAAAGTCCAGGCCGGCCCCCAGTGAGCAGCTGGCCATTTCCAGCAGCTGCAGGGACCACAGGCAGTGGTGCCCTCCCCATCACAAGCCAGGAGCCTGCACCCTGAGTCCCTGTGTGGGAGCAGCGCTGTGCCCTTTGACCTGCGGCAGGCTGCAGATGGCTCAGCCGCCAGAGGTACCACTGCATTCAGCGTGGGATTGCTGGCAGCCACTGCCTGAGGGCAGATTAGGTGTGTGTTCATTCATGCACCCTGCTGCTGAGGCCGAGATTTGGGGTTTCTCTGCCACCCCCGCTTGCCAGCTCCATGCTACAGCACAGTTTCAACGGCCGAGGCCTCAGACGGGAGGCTGTGCACACTTCGGGGCCCTGGACAGATGCCGGGTGCCTGTGTCCTGTTCCTGCCTGCCTGTGTCACTCTACCTAGCCTGACGCTTGTCGGCAGCCCCGGAGGCCGGGAGCTGGTGTGTGCAGGGCAGGCGTGCTGCAGTCGTCTGGCCTTCCCCACCACCGCACGCGGCCTTCTGCATCCTGCCACTTCCTTGCTAAGGGACACGGCCCTTAATGCAGCGGTCCTGTGCTTGGAGGTGGCCTCGGGGGAGCCAGTGCCTGCAGCCTGGGGTGCGGTCTCCAGAGTGGAAGCTGGTGGCAGTGGAGCCCACCGTGGCCCTCACAGAATGCACTGCTGACTCAGCGCCCCTTGGGAGTGTGGGGTGCAGGGCGGCTCCTGGACCCGCAGACAAGAACCTGGGTCAGGGCTCCACGGTGGGAGGAGCGCTCCACACTGTGGAGTGGGGCCATCTCTGGCCGAGGCCCAGAGCCCAGCCCCAAGTGGGTACAGCCGGGCTTCCTGCGCTGAGGTGTGCCCGTCCCTGCCGCTCACGCTGTACCTGTCCCTGCAGAGGCGTCATGGCCCCGTACGCCGTGCCTTCAGAGCTGCTGCTGGTGGAGACGATCCCGCGGAACCAGATGGGGAAGGTCAACAAGAAGGAACTCATCAGGCAGTTCTACCCGTGCAACCAGAGCACCCCAGGGCTGGGCGCCCAGGAGCCAGCATCGCCTTCCCACTAGAAGGAATAGAGGTGGGCACGATGGGAATGGGGTCAGAGCAAGGCCTGTGCAGCCTGGGTTTGTCTCTGAATCACAGGCAACCCCGTATCCCCTCTGCCCTGTCCTCACAGTCACTGCACACCCACGCCGAGTCTCCTCTGCTCACCTCCCCCTCCTGAAGACCGCCGCCCTCTCTCTTCTGGGGCGCAGATCGGGGGCCATTCCTTAGGGAACCATCGAGGTGGGTGGCCAGACCCCAAGGTCATGCCAGCCGAGCACCTCTTGGGGCCTGTGACCTCCTTTGTGAAGATGCCCAAGGGCAGGAGAAGGGCTCAGTGGAAGTCACATGCTAGAAGGTAGCTCCCGGTGGGCAAGGAGCAGGCAAATGTAAGTGGGCCAGGTGCCCACGTGCACTCATGTCTGTGGGTGTGCGCGCAGGCTTCTGGGCATGCCCTGCCTGCATGGGGACATGCAGCAGCAGGCCCAGCCTGTTTGCGGTCCCTCCTCACGGCAGTCTTGCCCCACCCTGGCCCTCTCCCCAGTGCCACTCTGCCACTCTCATCGGCTTGCGGCACACACCGCCCGTGACAGCCTGCTCGTACACACAGCCATGCAATCACTCTGTAATGGCTACAGGCCATTAAGCCATCAATCTGCTCATCCCAGCCTGCCAACCTTTCCGCATCACGCAGTAAAGCTATTAAGACAGCAGCATCCTTAATGCGTCGGGGACATGCCCGTCAGCACCTGCCTCGACGGGGAAGAGCCGAGTCTTAGAAGACGGTGACACACCGCCCCAGCCAGGTGGCTGCACAAGCACACATGCACATATGTGGACGTGGACATGCATGTACAGTGCACACCCCAGATGTATGGACACAGGGACATGGGCACATATATAACTAACTGTACATACTAGGCACGCGTAAGTGTCCACAGATAATGCAGATCTGGGCTCTGAAGACTCCCTTCAGTGTCAGCTGCCTCTGGGCCCCCTGGTCAGTGACGGTTGGAGCAGGACCGGAGTGCTCAGGGCTGGCAGCAGCTGGCACAAGGCTTGAGCAGGACACCCCGTGCTCCCTAATCAGTACAGGGCACCCCCAGCCTGCACGGGAGCCTGTATGTGGGCCCCCAGCCCCTCCCAGCCCCAGAACAGCCACGTGTACATGGGTTAAGAGCCCATTCAGGGCTCGCGTCAGCCTTAGGGCAGAGTAGCAGGTGGTAACACTGGCCTCCCGGCTCCAGCTTCCCAAGAACTACACTGTACATCCCAAATTTCACCCGGTCCCTCTGGGGAGCCGACCGCAGTCGGGACTGCGTGGGTGGCCACATCTGTGCATGGGAGTGAGTGTGCTGTGTGCCTTCCGGGCTGGCAGATACATCAGAGCTTCCTGTTCAGCTTATCCTGGATTCGCAGTGTGAAGTCCACCCACCCACCCCCCACCACCGCTGTTCCCGTGTGTCGCATTCGTGGGCAAAGCTGCCCTCCGTGTATGTCACCCCTTTGGCACCTGAGCAAGAGCTAATCCACAAAATACTCCCGGTTGTGGAATTGCAGGATTGTAGGCACTGGTCTCCAAGTTTCTAGATACGGCCCCATTCTTCCGGAAGAGGCCGCGCCTGTGGCCTCCAGCAGGGGAGATGCCCGCCCGCACACTGGGCAGAATCCTCACCGCTGTTTCCATGACTACCAGCACCCTGGGGGTAATCTGCATGATTACTGGACATTGGGGTTTGCTGCTCCCTATTCGTGCTCTTTGCCCGTTTTCTGGACTCTCGGTGATTCTCCCGGATTCCATTTCGGTTGTGCGGTTCGCCTCTTACTTCATTTAATACCTGTTGATGTGTAGGATTTTAATATTTTATTCAGAGAGATTAATCTTTTTTATGGCTTGAAGTTTTCATGTCTAAAAGCTCTTAAATACATTTCCCACTTGTTCTTCTAAAAAAATACAAAGCTTTGCTTTTCTCATTTCTCATTTCTCATTTGCTGGAAATTTATTTTCTCCTGTGGTGTGAAAAGCCCTAGTTTTCCTTTATGGAATAGTTTGTGTTCCCAGCATGGTTCTCGGACTCGGGTCTCTCCCGGCCGCACTGCACAGCCTCCCTCCACGCCCAAGCGTCGGGTGTGCTCCACGCTGACCCTTCCATCCCAACCCATCCACCTCTTTTCCAGGCTCTGCCGCTGGTTTCCTGTCTGATATTTGTCAGGATGAGGCACCCACCCACATGTCCTTCTTGCGAGCAGTCTAGACTGATCTTGGCCCCTTGTTCTTATATCTGGATTTTAAGAGCAGCTTAAAAGTTCCTCTTCAGAAGCCTCATTGGAGTTTTTGTAGAGGTCATTCAATTTGTAGATTAATTAATCTGGTAAGATTTGACATCTTTACAAAACTGCTCTCTCCGGCCCATGAACGGTGGCCCCGCTCCGCATTTCTTCGGGCTTCGTGTTTTGCAGTTTTCTCTACAATAACCGTGCACGTCTTTGGAGACGTTCAGCCCCAGGTACTTTACAGTCTTTGTTGGAAACTGAATGGAACTTTTTATTTCATTTTTTAGTTGATCGTTGAGATGATGTGTGTGTCGGGGCTCCACCCTGCAGCGTGGCCGGGTCCCCTGGGTCTCCTGTGGGCCGTCAGCGCCGGCCCCATGCGTCTCCTCCTGCCCTGCTCAGCCTTCTGCTTCCCGTCCCCTCTTCCTCTTGGTGCTTCGCTGAACCTCCAGGCAGACGACAGCCAGGGGGAAGGCGGCGGCTGCCTGTCCTCTCAGGCAGCGGGATGGCTCCAGAGCTGCTGCCCAGATCCCCAGGGGAGCACAGGCGAACAGGCCAGCTTCGGACCAGCTCGTGTCACTGCCTCCGGTTGTTAAGATGTTCTGTGAATGAGTGCTAAATTGTACTGAAGTTTTTCTTTTCTTTTAAATCGACCGTCCTTTCCATCCTGAATCCGTTACTATGCAGTACTGACGGTTTTCTGATGTCACCACACACTCATGACCCGGCATGAACCCTGCATGGTCAATGTGGCCGGGAAGGGGGTGCTGAATCATTCTCCATTTAATGTGATTACTGATCCAGCACATGGGTTTTACCTACAATTCCAAAACCCAGAAAGCTGTGGAAACCAAAGCTGTTTGTTTTGTGTTTTGTATTTGATGTTTGTGGTAAACTCATTCGGCAGAGGCTGTGGACTAAGTATCTATGTCCCCACCAAAATGCCATGTGGAGATTTACCCCCGATGTGACGGTGCTGGGAGGCGATCGGGTCGTGAGCAGAGCCCCCGTGAGCAGGGCTCCCGCCTCATCAGAGCTGCCGGGGCTCCCTCGCCCCTTCTCCAACGTGAGAGCACAAAGCGACGCTGCCTGTAAGCCAGGAGCCCCCACCACACGCCCAACGCGCTGGGGCCTGTGTCTCCGGCCCCCCGCCCCAGAGCTGTGAGCAGCCAGTGTTGTCGTTTATAAGCCCCATGGTGTTTTGCCAAGGCAGCCTGGACAGACTGAGGCAGCAGACAGACGGACATGAGCCTGAGGAGGACTTCTGGACCCCACTTCATGTGAGGGTCCCGGGTGCCACCCAGATCCTGAGGCCATAACACATTGCACCGCAAACGTGCCTTCAAACAGCTGAAAAATTCTGGATTCCAGTCTGCCTCTCGCCCAGGGCCCGGGGTGTGGGGCCCAGGCCAGCATTTCATTTAGGATCCTGAAGGCTGGTGACACCATCCCCCGAGGCCTCAGGGCTTGCCGGGTGGAGGTGCCTCTGACCACCGATCCCATCTCTTCTTTAATGGTTCCTGCTCTACTCGAGACTCACTCCTTGGTGGTGCCCCGGCTCCTGTGGCTCCGTGAAACCATGGGTTTCACCCAGGCTGCGGATTTCTTGGCATGTAGCTGCTCCCAGCCCTACCATGTGACTTCCCGTCTTGGCGCTGGGCTCACATCCGTCTGCTGGAGCGCCTGCTGAACCGCTGGCTCATCCCTGCTGTGCCCGCCTTTCCCTCTCCTGCCCTCCCAGGTTCACACTGGTGCCCTTTCTCTGGCGCCTTCCATGGGACCCCCCTCACTGGCTGTCCCCAAGTCCTCGGGGCCACCTGAGCGTCACTGGGGCCTTGCCACGCGGCCCCCCACTGCCCCTCGGTCGGTCTCACTGTGCCTTGGCCTCTTGCCCAGTAGTGATCTGGGGGCACATTTCCCTTCACCGTCCTCCTGCTGCCACCCACCCAGTCACCAAGACGCCGCCCTGCAACTTCAGTTCTTTGAGATCCAAGGCTCTTTGGGTGCCCCGGGCAGCCCCGTCTCAGAGTCAGGATGGGGTTGGGGGTGATGGGAAAGGATCTGTGAGTAAACTGGCCACTGAGGTATCTCAGCGCCTCTGGGCCCCGGAGCTCGGCCTGCCCGGCCTCGGAACCCACGTCACTGCCAGCAGCGCCGGCCGCCTTCCCGGCGCAGGTTGGCGCCCTGTGCTCAGGCTCACAGCTGTTCCGTGGGTCTGATGGGCTGTTGTTTAGCATCTCTACCCCGTTCACGTTTGTCCCTCGGGCTTCATTTTGCCCGGGATTAATACTGAGATTAATCCTGCACTCCCAGCTCCCGGGGGTCCCAGCGTCCGTCTCTGTGAGCATGCCACGCGGGCTGAGCTCACGGCCACGCAGTGCGTGGACCCGGCAGCCAGGGCGAACCTGCCCCATCCCAGCCGGGCATGCTTCCTTAGAGGTTTTCAGTTTGGTTGTAGACACAAGAAGTAATAAATAGGCTTTGTTTTTATGGCCGGTCATTAATGGACATTTGATCGACTTCTCAACCACAACCAAATTCACGCTATAAAACCGTCTGTGCTAGTTCTCCCGAGACTCCCTATGCATGGCCTTTGTACGGCCAAGGCCGTATTCCCTCCTCACGCTTGGATGACCAGCTCTCTGGAGACAGGACGTGCACTCGGCCGGGGGCCCCTCGGCCCAGTGTCTGGCCTGCACCGTTCTGTCCCCTGGACTCCTCCGGCGCTGTGACGGCTGCCTTTCCCCTCGACACGACGGCGAGTCCACACGGGTGCAAATGGCCAGCGCCAGCCTCACTCAGGTGGCCTCCGGGAGTCCTGCACCCGCCCTGTTCCCTGAATGTCCCACGTGATTCCCTCTTTAGACAGAAACCCCCACTGGTTCTCCTGGCCTCTGAACGCAGCTGGACCTCCCCTGGGCTCACACTGCACTTGGGGCCTAAACTCAGCCCCTCCTGCCTGCGCTGGGACGGGTGTGTGCCGGCCCCCGGCGCCCAAGGGAGCAGGCAGCAGCAGGCCAGTGAGAGTGGCTGGAACATGCTGACTCTCTCCAGAGGCAGGGAGCCTGTTAGCCTGGCTCTGCTCAGCACAGCCTGGGCCTCCTGGGGCCTCCTGGCGTGCCGACGCCACCACCCTGGCCCAGCGGCCAAGTCCGGCAGGCGCTGCAGCCTGGCCTGCAATCCCATACGTGGTGGGGAGGCTTCTGTGCTGCCCACCAGGTTTTGCACCAACCTGGGCTTGGATCTGTCCTGGCCTCTCTGTCCCAGGTCCATCTGTATGGACGGGAAGGGCCATCCGGAAGGGCTGCGGCCCCTGTGTCTTTCCCCGGGGCCCTGTCACTTGAACAGGAAACACAGCAGGCCCCACAGAGACCCTGCCCATGGGCAGGGCCTGTCTGGGGGTGCTGAGTGAACACCCCTCTGCCCACAGTGGCTGCAGAATGGGGGGTGAGATTAGATGCAGCACCAACATCGTCAAACTAAACTGCCGATCACATCAGATTCCATCAGAATGGCCACTGATGGGATTTATGGGCTGTCCGGGACTCTTCGCTCCCAGATTTGTCACCAGCACTCTTGATGCTGATAGAAAGTTAATGGTGCCGGCAGCCAGTGGCATGGCTGGACCTCTGGGGCCTTCGCTGCCTGCTGACCCTGGGCCCACTCCATGCTGCGACCTGCCCCACACGGCCCCCCTAGGCGGCCTCATCTGCCTGGAGCCTGTCCTGCCGGCTCCTCCCAGACACAGACCCTGCCAGCCCGGGCAGGCCCACAAGGGCCCTATGGTGGCGAGTGCCATGACGACGCAGGGGACAGACTCCCTGGGGCCACTCCATGGGGTCTCACCCCCAAATCAGAGCTGAGAGCTCCAGGTCCAGGCAGCTTTGGAAGCCATGCCCTGCTGACCCGTCCTGGGCCACAGTCCCTCCACACCCTGCTCCGTCTGCTGAAGCCAGGCCAGCTGGGGGCAAAGACCCGGGTGATGGGCGACCAGCCTGGTATGCAGCCCCGAGGGGGTCTCACACCACCTTTGTTCCCCCTGCAATCTCCCCAAAAGTCTCAGGCCTGTGCCTCCCCTTCCAGCCTTCCACACCTCACTACCCAGCTCAGAGGGGAGCTGCCCACACTGTGTTCTGGGTCTTCAGCACCCTGAGACCCTGAATGAGGAAGACGGGGGACCTGTACCTGCCCTGGGGTCTCAGGGCGAGTGGGCGCCCAGCCCTCGCCCCAGCCTGTCTTGGTGAAAGTGCCCACGGGAATGGGCTGTCAGTACTGGAGGCCTCACGGCCTCCGTTCCCTGGCTCGCACCCCACCCAGCCCCTCCGAGCCAGCGGGGGAGGGCAGCAGTCTGTGCCCACCCTGTGGCCAGCCGGCAGCAGTTGTGCCCAGGTTGGGGTCAGGAGGGCCCGTCGCCCCGCCCAGCTGGGCCCTGAGCCCAGGCCTGGGGCGGCCAGGCCAGCAGGTAGAAGGACCAGGCCCTGGCCACCACCTCTGCAGGGCTTCCCTGGAGCCACACTGCCCCCTGCTGGTGCTAGTGGGCGTGGCAGGAACCGCTGGGACCCCAGGCCTACCCCGGTGCCTGGGCCAAGTCCAGCTGGGGCTGAACGTCACCTCTAGGACATGGAAAACCGTGTCCAGTGGACCTGGGGCCACTGCCTGGCCTGATTCTGCATTCCCACGTCAGAGCTGCTGGACAGGCAGCCGCTGGGCAGCATGAGACCCCAGCCCCCCAGCAGCGGGGAGCTTGGAGCTCGGGCAGCCCTGGAGGGAGGCCTGGGCAGAGCTGCAGCCAAGGCCCCCAGCTCAGCTCCCTGAAGACCAGCACCAGCCATCCTGCCAGGTGCGCAGGGCTCTGGGCCAGTGGGTGCGCCAGGGCCCCGCAGTCTCTTCTATCTACCATCTGTCCATCTGTTCATCCATGTTGAGCACCCAAGACTTTAAAGCGCAGTTTTGGAATGACTGTTCTGGTGTGGCTGGGGTGGACACTGGGCTTTGGAACAAAGAAGGCCCCCGACCCAGGCGGGAGCGGCCTGCACAGAGGGCGGGCTCAGCATGGGCCCGGGCCGTGACGTTCGCTCCCCAGGCCAGGTGCTGAGCCCAGCGGCAGCCAGTCACTCCTCGACATGCCACGCTCTGGGCCCCCGCCTTGTCCCCTCTGACCCTGGGGACACTTTAAGAACGGAGGAAGGACTACTTCCCTGCCCAGGCCAAGGGGCGCTCTGTCCCACCCTTTCCTCACCCACAGAGCCCTGTACCATCTGCCCTGATGTTTGCCCAGCTCAATGGGGGGCTCCTGATGCTGTGTCACCACTTCAGGATTGCTTTGGCCCCCGAGATGTGTGCAGCCCTGCAAGGGCTTAGTGTGAAGCCACAGAGCCTGGCAGGGGCCTGGGACCCAGGAACTAGAGGGGAGGGGAGTGCCGGAGGGAAGGTCTGCCTGCACCTGGCCTCTCTCCCGACCTGCAGACCAGGCTTGAATAAGGAGAGAGCCCTGCAGTGGTCACTGGGCCCCTGGCCAGGCCCCACCTATATTGGCCATGTCCCCTTGACCTCAAGCCTCCAGGTCCCAGCTTGTAAAGTGGGGGCCACAGGGGTGAGGTCAGTGTCTGGGCCCCCAGGAGCACTTCGCTGTTGTTGCCACTGGCCCCTCCACTGGATGACCTCAGGTGCCCAGTTCACATCCATGCGGAACATGGCCCCCATTGCCTGGTGTATGCTTCGTCTCCTTCCTGGCCAGCCCTGAAGGGCCTGGACATTCTTTCACTCCCTTCTGCGTCCACCCTCTGTCCAGGACCCCATCCTCCACAGCAGCCTGACCCTTGGGAGCGTGGCCCTCATTGCAGCCTGACGCCTGGTTGTCCCCTTGCCACATAACCCTGACTCCTATTCAAAACAGGGACCTTTGTGCCACAGGAGGGAGCTGGGTAGTGCGGACACACGACTGTCCCAGTGAACAGAGCAAAGCCAGTGCTCAGTGAATACCAGCTGGGATCGCCAAGTTACTCAGCCTGTGTGTCCTTGCTGTACGGACGCCAGAACATGCTACTGCACGCACAGTGGCTCAAACAACATGAGTTTATTATCTTACTGTTTCCCTGGGCCAGCATCTGAGCAGGCTGGCCCAGTCCCCTGTCCCTGGTCAGTCGAGGCCACTCCCTGTCAGCTGGGCAGGCTCCTTCTTAGACTCAGAAGAGGCTCTGCTCCACATTCATCCAGTCGGTGTCAGAATCCAGGTCCTCGCAGCGGTTGGACCGAGTGCCCTTTTCCGCTGTCAGCCAGGGCCCCCCTTCGCTCCCAGAGGCCTCCTGCCTGTGCCCCCACACCCGTGTCGGCCCCTCACACGCCTGAACCTCTCTGATTTCCCCCTCTTGCCACAGTTCTCTGCCCCCAGCTCATCTCTGATCTGCAAGGCTCCTGTGAACACATCACCCCTCCCAAACCAGGATCACCTCCCCACCACGAGGTCCCTTTACAGTGGAAAGTGACATTTTCACAGGTTCTGCCATCAGGGTGAGGACATCTTTGGCCACCTGTCCAGTGCCTGCTCAGCCACGTGTCCTTGCCTGCACTGGAGAGAAGCCCCTGCTTCATAGGCACGGGGACTAAACGCCTGGCCCCTAGTTAGAGTTTATGTATACTCATGTGCAAGTTTATATAAGCCTACATACTTTTATACACAGTAGTTCCTGCTTCACTGTGTAATTACACAATTCTAAAGTTATAATAGCTTCACTTCTTGCTGAAAGCCCAATGTGCCCTCTCTTCATGAGGAAGTTGAAAACCTCTGAACACAGAAGATGAACCTCCAGTTCATCCTGGGTTGGACACCCCAAGTCCTCTAGCTTGGTCCCTGACTGCCTGAGACCCCTTACCTGGGCCACCGGACAGTCAGCTGCCCTCTGGGCCCTCCCAGGTTCTGCACATCCCCAGCCTGCTCCCCTTCTCCCGGTTCAGAGGTGCACCCCTTGGGCAAGTGGGCAGGCACCCCCCCGCACCCCACTGTGTGGGCCATGGGCCACACTCAGTCCCTAGTGGTGGGTGGGGGGTGGGGTCCCATGCCCGGGACAGAGGAGCAACCGCCAGGGGAGCTGGCATGGGACTGGCCCTGACCTTTACCAGGACTCTGGTGGACACAGTGGATCTGAGAACCCCGGCTCTGCTCTGAGCTCCCAGGACTCCCCAAGTCTCAGCCTGGTGAACCAGGTTGCTGGCCTCAGGTCACAGACCGTGGGTCACACAGATTGAAGAGGGGACACAGCTCCCCCCTGGGAAAGATGGGAGTGAGCCAGTGCCTCAGGTCCGCCACTTGGCTCTGAGCCCACCAGCCTGGAGCCCCCAGCCCCCAGGCTCACACGCACCCTGCCCGTGCCCAGGCCCACATCTGCATCACCCACCGGCACGAGGGCAGAGTGTGAACCATCGTTGCGTGGGGAAGGAAGTGGGGCCTAGGGCTGCAGGGCTGGCTGCAGAATTGGGGACAGGGAGGGGCACT